AGCTCCTCGCGAGTCAAGGTAGAGCGATTTTGTGGTGGAGGAGCTTCGGCGTTGGTGGTGGCTGCAGATGTTGATGCTGATGGCAATGTTGAGGATGAGGGTGGCTCTCCGTTTCGAGGCTTCTTTTTGACCGGCGACACCGCCTGCTCGACCTCGTCGTCGTCGATGGCCGGGCCGAAGGGCTCACCTTGCATCAGCCGACGGCCGACTTGTCCACCTTGGAGGAGAAAATCAGTCATTATAAACATCTTCCTAAAAAGAACTCCTAATTTACTCACCATCGAGGACGGTGGTCACCTTGGGCACCATGATGATGGTGATGCCCTTGTCGGCCAGCTCCGAGAGGTTGTAGTCGTCGAGGCGGACGACGCTGAAGTTCGCCACCTGGAGATCGCCATCCTCCTCGGCTCCAAAGGGATCGGCAAGGGTGGGCTGGCCCCCCCGCTCCGTGGAGAGGAAGATGCAGTGCTGGCAGGTGGTGACGCCGTCGCTGATCACCGCCCGCAGGCGCACAGGCGCACACACTCAGATGATGATGATGAGGCCTATCGTAAAACACTTGGTAACAGTGGCTGGTAGCAGTTGCTTCAAGACAAGTCCAGACAGGTTGTAGTAGAAATAGAAGAAAATGAAGAAGAAGAAGAAAGTAGTAGTGGGGGTGTTGGTGATGGGGTGATGAAGTGATGATAGCAGTTGTGAAACTCACCCGTCCACAGTGCGCTCAAAGTTGAGGCAGTCAGAATGCAGTATGCAGAGAGAGGGAGATGATGCGGATGAAGAGCAACAGCAGAGTTAGAGACGAGTAGAGTAGATGAGTAGTAATTATAATAATTTTAAAACAGCAGAAGCAATGACGCCCTTCAAGGAAAAATGGGAGTGACTAGAGTTTCAGTGTTGCTGTTGCTGTTGCTGTTGCTGCTGGTGGTGGTGGTGGTATGAATTGTTTGTGTGAAGAAAACTTTAGAGCAGGCCCTTCAGGCAAACTTGACACTACCACTACCTGAAGCAGTGTTGGCATTGCCAGCAGAGGCTGACGAGTTGTCATGGTGGCCATTGGTGGTGGAGCCATTACCGGCGGCAGAAGACTTGCTGGTGTGCACCTGACGCTGTTTGCCACCACTGCTACCACCGGAGAGCTTGCTGCTCATCACGTTAAAAGCGTTGACTCGGTGGTGACTGTTGCTGGAGAAGATTTGGCTGCCGGAGGAAGCGGCAGTGGAAGACCCCACCGAGTCGGTCAGAGAGGAAAAAGCAGCCGCCAGAGTGGCCTCCACGTTCAGGCCGTTGTCCTCCTCGGCAGCACTGCACTGGTGGCCATTGGTGGAAACGGCAGCCGAGGAGGTGGTGGTGCCGTTGCTGGCGGTGTTCACCTGACGCTGCTCGCGACCGTTAATAAAGAGCTGCTTTACGGTGTAGGCAAAAGTGCTCGCAGCGAAGTTCACCGAGTCGGTGAACGTGTTTAAGGCTGCTTCAATGGACCCGTTCAGGCTGCTGTCCTCGTCGTCCTGCGAGAAAGGCGGTGAAGGGATTGACGGGTAATCAGGCACCGGTGAAAACATTGAGGGGGAAGAGGTGAACGAACGTGATGGCGAGCGAAACTCTGACTGTTCCGCCTCAAATGATGACCAGCTGAAACTCGGCTCGTCGTTCAGGTAGGCAGTCTCCTCGTCGTCTACGTAGCTCCCATCCCTGGCTCGAACCGATGGCGGAGGTGTGGGGGTAGGCGACTGGGAGGCAGATCGCTTCTGACCTTGCTGATTTGCCATTTTTTTTGACAAAGCTGATGATGATGATGATGCTCAGAGAAAAATACAGGTAGAAGTTGGTCGTGTATAGAGTGTGGATGGACTGAGAGCTGCGTTTGCTTAAGTTTACACTACTACTACTGCTTTTTTCAAATAACAAAGTTTGGTCACTGTGTCGCTGCCTGCCTGCTAGTGTTGGCCACTTTACGCTAATAGCCTGCTCAAGCTTATTTGTTTAAATGTCAGTAGGCGTACATGTGGTCGGTGAAGTTGGCCACCGTGAGGTAGTCAATCTCAAACTTGTTGCTGCAGTGAAGACCAAGCACATCGGTGGAGGGAGGTCGACAGAAAGATGAGTAGAAGAGAAAGCAATGCAAAAAAGGTAAACATTGTAAGACGGGAACCTCAGGTGAGTGAGTGAGTGAGTGAGTGAGTGTATGCAGTTCCGACAAGGATCACCTGTGCAACTTTAAAATTGATGCTGCTGGCACTGTTGAGAGTTACAACAGTATGTCAAGAGTAGAAGAAGACAAAAAGGAGCTGCTCATCAGAAGATGGTGAAGGATGACTTATTAGCTGATTTTAGTGCTGTTTCTGGAGGCGCAGAACTGAGTGGAGATGCAAATGAAAAAAAGGGAGGATGAAGACAACAACAACAACACAGTGCTGAAGAAATCACGACATTTTAAATCACTACTGTAAGGGAGGAAAAAGACTGAGGTTCATGAAAAAAGATTTGCAGTGAAAAAAA